GACTTTTGTACAATGAGTGGTGAAGCTAGCAAGTCAACAACGGTATCTTTAGAGAGGTATAGGTTGAGCTTTGTACCTAAACCAAAGATTTCAAGTTAGCATTATTTTTTTCTTCTATTTTATTAATTAAGGGGTTCATAAAAAAATTAAAGTTTTCTTCTCACAAATTCTCCCTTATTATTGTCATATTTACAATAGTTTGTTTTTATATTTGTGCCCTTCTTTGGTTGTAGAAAGGTGTTAGATTAATCAGAAAGGAAAGCAACGTAATTGTAAATGGCTTAAAAGCTAATTGTTCTTGTTGATGTTGTTATTAGTATTATTATTGTCAGTTCTTAGTGGTTTATGTTGGGGGAAATTCTATGTTTAATAATCAAATTTTGTATATTTATCAAGCAAACACCAAGTAAGATTGTAAAAAGAATTTGTTGTTCTTGAACAAATGTTTGCTAAAAAGCTCGTGTCTTGTTCATTGTGAAAATAAAAAAAATCATGAAATAATAAATATATACTTTGAGCTCATTTCATAGTATTTCATATTAATTCATATTTTTATTTATAATTGTTTTATATTATGCACCATGTTTAAAATAACTGTAGCAATGCTGTGCAACTATGTTCTAGGGCTCCACGACGAGCTTTATATTAGGTGCGTCATTCTTTGTTGACAAGTATGAGTGCCACATCGAGGTCCTCATAAAAATCGAGTTTGGTCATTCTTCGTATTCTGACCCCTTTCCAATTTCGGTGGGGTTCAGGTTAACCCAAAACTTGAAATCAACCTAGATCAAGATCGAGCTCAGCTGGCCTCATGACCGCCCTTCACATCCTCCGTCGCGCGCGCTACCCATCTTGCTTGCGCTTGCACGGTCGCACCCACTTGCACTCGCATGGCCGCACTTGCTCGCATTGACTATCTGTTCACCTCGCCTCCCACGCGCACCGCTTGCCTCCCCTTGCCTTGCGCTTGCCCTCCAACGCTTGCTTGCCCGTGCTCACCTCGCCCGCTCGCCTCACGCTTGCCCGTTTGCCAGCTTGTCCGCTCGCACTCACCTCGCCTCTCTTTTGCACTCACCCACTTGCTCGCGCTTGCACTCACCCACTCGCCTCGTGCTCTTGCTCGAGGACAGCCTCACGTAGTGCTCATGTCGCCCAATCGGGTCAGCGTTTTGGGTCTTGTTTACCCGGGTTTGGATTTCAGATCCGTTTGTGTAATCGGGTCGGGTCAAGTGCAAGTCAGTTTCGGGTTGCACTCTAATTCGACCCAAAAATCCATTTTAACACCCATAAAAATTGCTGGAACAGGTTTCATCCAACTTACTAAAGAATTGTATCTCAATTCTATACTACATTTTCCAAACTTAGATTGTAATCTTTTGTCCATTAGCTAATTGGCTCTTGACCTCAATTTGTTACTAAATTTTATCTAAACTTGTGTGTTTTTGAGGGCTTGAAATCGGTGAAGATGATTGATAGTGTTGAACCATTCTCCGGGCTCTATATCCTCTTATGGGAAAAATCCTCAAATCAAGTTTCTCAAGCAAATTGCATCCAATCTTAGAGTCTGTTAGAATCTTTCAATTATGTATCCAATTTCAGTGACAATAAAGATAGTGAAATTATATTGTTATACTATAATCTTGGTCATCCTAACTTTATGGATCTTGCAACATTGTTTCCCAAATTATTTATTAAAAAAAATCAAACATTTTTTTATTGTAAAACTTGTCAGATTGCAAAGAATACTTGAGTAATATATCCTCAAATTCCATACAAACCTTCAATTGTTTTTTATTTGATCCAAAGTGATGTGTGGGGTACCTCAAGGATAAAAAATGTTTTTGGCATTCGATGATTTGTGACATGTATTGATGATTATATAATGTTAACTTGGTTTTTTCTTATGAAAAAAATATATGAGGTCAGATAAAATTTTCAAACCTTCAATTTTATACTTCAAAATTAATTCAGTTTTAAAATTTAGATATTCAAGTTAGACAATGCTAGGGAATACTTCATTAGTAGTCTCAATACGTACCTTCATAACCATGAAATTATCCACATAAGTTATTGTTTTTACCCTCAATAAAATGGGGTGACTGAACACAATAATAGACATCTCTTGGGGGTTGCCCGGTGTCTTATTTTTAGTTTTTATTTTTTATTTTTTAGGTTGCCCGGTGTCTTATGTTTACTTCTAATGTTCCAAATTATTTTTGAGGGGAAGCATTCTCATAGTTCTTTTTAATCAATCGTATGCCATCCAGAGTCCTTAATTTTCAATTTCCATGTTAGATTCTACTGAAAAATTTTCCTTACATTCGTACAGCTTCATGTGATTTACCAATTAAGGTAATTGGTTCCACAACACTTGTTCATGTGTATCCTTAAAACCATAACAAATTTGATCATAGAGCCAATAAGTGTATTTCAAATAGGGTACAATTATTATTCTCAAATCAACAAAGGATTTAACAGCACCATGGATGTCTCTTTCTTTGAACATGTGCAATTTTATCCCAAATCTCATGTTTAGGGGGAGAGCATGAATAAACATCAATTTTATGAGTTTTTCTTGAGTCCGTGCCCTTTGCCCACTCATAGTCGCCAAGTTCTTCTCAACCTGTGCTTGTGCCCAAAGACAGTACACAAGACTTGTCTGTACCCGTGCCTATTCAATCATCAGTCCAACCCTCAAATATTTCTTCTCCTGTGTCTGCTCAATTTATGGCTCGACTACTTGTTAATGTGAATTTTCAAGTTTATATTAGAAGGAAAAGGCAGGAGCTAGAGCATGGATCACAACCAACATTTGGCCAAGATATTAACTCAATTTTAAGTCCACATGAATAAAACACATGCATGGATAAGGCCGGAGATGTGCCAATTCCCAACATTGATAACTCTAACTTGTCGATTGCATTGAGGAAGGGTGATAGCCTGGTAGGGGATGCACATTCCATCACATTGGGAATTATGCTGCTTATGAAGGGCTATCACCTTCTTACAGAGCATTTGCTACTTCTCTTGATGATATTTAGGTTCCTAGCACAATACATGAGCCATTATAAAATTCAGAGTACAAGATGAGATTGATGCACTTGAGAAGATTGTAATATAAACTATTATTGATTTACCAGCTGGGAAAAGGCCTGTGGGTTTCAAGTGGATTTTCTTTAAAAAGTACAAGGCAGATGGATCAGTTGAGAGGAAGTTTACATGAAAATCCCACCTGATTTTAAAAAAAAGTATGACAATGAATATGGTTTGCAAACTCAAAAAGTCCTTGTACGCTCTTAAACAATCTCCCTGTGTCTGGTTTAACAGACTCACAAGGGCTATTTTGAAGCTAGATTACATATAGGGCGAAATTAGTCATACTCAGTTTGTCAAGAAATCTCATGCTGAAAAAATTACTATATTGATAATTTATGATGATGATATTATTCTATATGGGAATGATGTGGAGGAATTACATAATTTGAAGAAGTATTTGTTAAAAGAGTTTGAAGTTAAAGATCTTGAAAATCTTAAATGTTTCTTTGGAGTGGAAGTGTCTAGATCAAGAAAGGGCATCGTTGTTTCTCAAAGGAAATATATTCTTGATCCTATTAAGAAGACCAGTATGGTTGGATGCAAACTTTTTGATAATCCTATGGATAGTTAGAAGAAACTTGGTACTGAGTACAAAAGTATATATGTAGCAGTGAGAGATATTAGAGACTTGTTGGATGTCTGATTTATCTTTCACACTCTCGACCAAATATTGGTTTTGCAGTGAGTGTTGTAAGTCAATTTATGCACAACCCTACAAAGAAACACATGGAAGTAGTCTACAAGATTCTTACTTGAAGATGAAACCAGAGAAAGGCCTATTTTTCTGAAAGACAGAGAATCGTGACATTGAAGTGTATTTAGATGCAGAATGAGCAAGAAACATAATTGACAGATGATCAACTTTTGAGTAGTGCTCTTTTATCTGGGTTAATCTTGTTACCTGAAGGAGTAAGAAGCAATCAGTGGTAGCCAGAAGTAATGCAGAAACTAAGTGCATAGCACTGGCACAAGGAATTTGTAGAGGGAGTTGGGTATAAAGTGTTCTTTGTGAAATAGGACAAATGAGTTTATCTCTTATTTTTGATGATTTGTGATAATCAGGTAGCTATCAACATAGCTTAGAATCCCATACATCATGGCAGGATTAAACACATTGAAATTGACAGACACTTTGTTACAGAGAAGGTGGCTAATGAGATGTTAAATTGGAATACATCTCTACCAAACAACAAACTACATATATTCTCACCAGAGCTCTACTTAGACTTAACTTTGAAGACTTAAATTGCAAGCTTAGATTATATGATATATTCTTGAGCTTGAGGGGGAGTGTTGAATATTTTAAGGTCAAAGTTAGGGAATTTATTTTAGAAATAAAAGGAGAGATTGATTGTGACTTATCCTATGATTTTATTTTCTAATTTTTGGAAAAAAAATTTCTCCTATGATTCTATATCCTAAACAAAAAAAAAGCTAGTTAGTTATTTTCTTTATTAAACTCTCTCTCTCTCTCTTTCTATATATATATATATATATATATATATGATAGATGTAGATGTATTATCATTTTTTAATAAGAAGAATAATAAATTCAGAAACTCTTCGGTTCAAAGTACAATATGAATAAAAGATTCTTTTATACTTAATTAGGATTTAATTTGTTTATAAATATGACCTTATGTATGAACTATCATCATTGGTTTTTCTATTATTGTAGTTATGAAGAATTCCTGCAGCCGTATGTTGGCTCTCTTATGTTCTTGCTTTACAGATCTGATGCTTCAATGTATTGAGGATTTCTCTAAAAAACTTGAGGATTCTTTAGTTAATATATATATTTTTCTTGTGTTTTATTTATTTTTCCTGCTGTTCTTTGCAATTCCGCTACTTGACATCATCTGTCTATAGAGATATCGAGTTTTTAGCTGTCTGATATATTGTAGAACAAGGGAGCGGAAGACCAGCTGAAGTTTTTCCAGGGTTGCGTTGCTGCTGCATATTCAGAACGTGATCACTCCTTAATGGAAGTCAATATCTAATTTTGCTTTCATCTGATTATAAGAAATTATTCAGAATGTTCTGCTTTTTATTTGGCATTGTTATTTCTTTCTACTTTTCAGTCTGAGAAGGCTAAGGATCGGGAGGAATCTATGGCAGAGAAATTAAGCATTTCTGAGCGAAGGTATTATTTTACATCTGAAATATTTTAGAGTTTATGAACATAAATAGTTTCAGAAAACTTTTTCGTAATCCTTGTGTTGATTATTCGTGTACTTATTAAAAGCTTATGTATAGAGTATTTCATGGAAGTACAGGGAAATTCTTTCTTAAGAGAACTATTAAGATGTAATTTGCCTCAAATTATAGATTGTTTTGACAACTATAATTTAAGATTCTCGTTGATTTCTCTGCTGACATACCTTGTTATATATTTAATTTATCCAGAAACATATAGTGTTATTTTGCTATCTGAAGAAGTTTGGTTAAAAAAATGTAGGTGCAACTAATTAATTCATTTTCTGTATTATTGAGTTAGATTCACTATTATATCTTGAAAATTAGAATGAGAAGATTTAATAATAGAAAATGAAAGATTTTTTGGTTGAATTTTTACCTTGTTTTGTGTTATAAAAAGATAAGAAGTTAACGCAGAAATAGGTTGAGAAATAAATGTTTAGGAAATAAATAAATATGAAAATCAAACTTTAATTATAGAATCCATAATTAACTACACAAGACAAATGGGATGTTTTTGTGCACGGCTTGTTGATTTATTGTAGATAGAATGGTGCTGGCTATAGATTTAGGATTATTTTAACATTGTCATCATGTTGGATTGCATTTGTTCATTATGCTTGCTGATTAGATCACTTTCAGGCTACTTCTGAAATTTTGGAGCCATAAAACCTATCCAAAATAGTTAGGCGTCTTCCATAGGAAGTTGTAAGACTTGCTATTTCGGCTATACATTCAATAAAATCCATAAGACCTACTTCTAAAATCACCGAATTACTTCTAAGGCTAAATCACCGAATTACTTCTAATGGAAGCCTTAAGCCCTGAGCCAATTCAATTAATCGTGTAACTTTTAAACAGTCACTAAACCCAAATTATATTAATCACAGGGTATTCTAACTGATTTAAAACCCTAAATCACCTTTTTTAAAACTACAACCCACATTTAACCATCTAAGTCTACTCGGGATTCCTGAGAGGAGGCAACCTATGACTGCTAATCAGATTCTCTGGACACTATAGTCAACGATCACTAGTGTTGGTAGGCTGAAACGTACGGTATACCCGGGACGACGGAACTGTGAGATCTTGTTCGAGTTTACCTATATTTTCCCCATCAACTAAGATTAAATTACCTATGTTTTCTTTTCCAACAAAATTCATGTTGACTCTAATCTCTGTAAGTTTTGTTAATATGTTGTTTAATATGGTGCCTGTGAAATCATTCGTGACTGTGAAATTAGGCGAGGGAGCTAAAGTGCAATTCCCTCAAGCCATATTGAACATAGGCATTGCTGGAGCAACCATCAAATTTAAAACTATTTCAAAGTTTTGCAGTTCCTCCCTAAGAATAATGTTGATGCACTGACTGCTAAAGGTATTGCTGAAAGACCTACTTTCGAGTCTACCAAAGGAAAGACTCCCAAGAGAGCCTCTGTGTTTTCAAGATTTTTTATAGCACCTGTTACTATCCCGATCGTTCAAAAGAAAACTTCTGGTCCCAAGATGAAGTCTGTTGTGGTTAATCCAGTTAGCCAAAATATGATCCATAATGAAGCCCCCGAAGAGCATAACATTGAAATTCTGCTACAAGCACTAAGCTTTCCAGGAAACCTCGTCGAAAAGCCAATGCTTGTTTTCGAGCTAACGACTTAGAGAAATGCTTTTTACTGAGGAACCATTACCTCCTATTGAAGAAAACATCCCTGCTGGTAATAACTTCAAGCCATTGAAGTGAGTGAGAAGAAACAATGCTGAGGGAGAAATAAAGAAGTCTTTCTGGGATACTTCTCGCCAACAACATAGCCACTAAAGAAGGAAGAATCTGCATCTTCCAAAATATACAAGATACTGAAAGCCGTCAAAGACAGAAACTTACAAAGAAAATTAAGAAGATCTGTCAATGAGGTTATCTTCTCAAATGTGGCTCATTTTGAGAACAATAATGTTTCTAGAAAGACTTATAGAGAGGATATCAGACATCTTCCCAACTATAGAGAGCCAAGAAAATACCATCCTAATATACTATGGAAGAAAACATATGAAATAGCATTTTGATAGCCTATACACAAGAGGTTATACCAGAAAGGCAGAAAATATGATAAACAAAGGCCCCAATGATCATATGGTGAACATGGTCATTCAAAGGTATATTCTGATACTGGTGGTCATCAATATGTAACCACGAGAAAACAACAAATTTGGGTTCCGAAGAAACCCAAATATCCTGAAGACAGTAAGAGATGGTTTCAACCTCAAGGTCATAAGTTATCAACTTATCCTCTAGTAGAAAAATCTTTTGTTGACAAGCATGTTCCAGAAAGAGAGGAGAATGCTATTTATAACAAATCCTCAGACTCTCTAGTCATATATTGGAAGCGTCGATCCCAACTTGGAGATAATCTCGAGTTGAATGAAAGTGACAATTATTACAATGATGTTGAAGAAGTGGAAAGGTATATTGATCCCATGGACATTGAAGTTGTTCGAATGGTTGATCATGTTCATGATCAATTTAATCAATATACATACGCTCTTAGAAATGTAGCTTTAAATATGCAAAGCGAAGAACAACTGCGAGATGATCAAGAACAGACAACACCTGTTAATATAACTCCACAACCAGAAGAAGTTAAGGAGGAAGAAGCTGAAGAGTTTATAAGAAGATTGTAATTGGAAATGCAATTTATGCAACAAAAGAAAGATCAAGAAATCAATCATTTGAATGCTCGTCTTGATGTGATAAGTAATATGATGAAAGAGTTGTTCGGACAATTTGGCATGATGGCTACAACTAGCCGACCACTATTAATAAATTCCTAATGAAATGTTCAAACTAGTCCCCCTGATGGACTGGTCACTCATGATAGAAGATCAGAAGAGTTACAGGAGCCAACACTGATAGTTTCTAAAGAGGATGGAATGGTCAACAAAGCCCAAATCAAGAACCTCATCAGCTAAAAGGTTAAGGAAGCTATTGCTTTTGAAGCTGTTGAAGCTTTGGTGGGTAAAGACCGCTAACATCCCACTGAATACGATCAAATTAAGTATCCAAAGGGATATGTAGTACCAAAGTTTTATATTTGATGGTACCGCAAATCCTCGTCAGCATCTGACACAATTTAAAGCTATATGTGAAAATATGGGCGGTAATGCTGCTCTATTATTATTCCAATTCATTAGTAGTCTAACAGGTACAACTTTTTGGTGGTATGCTAAGTTACCCAATGACTCAATAAGAACATTTGCCGAATCATTGTTGACCTCGATTTTGCCCAGACCCGGGCCTAAAGAGTTGACTTGGTCAAATTGACCAAGCCAGACCCTATGGCCCTCCCCACTGGGTTCAGTGGGTCGAGTCGAGTCTGTCGAGCCCGAGCTTGGACCCGGGGTCAACCCGGTTGACCAGGTCAACCAAAATTGACCAAATGGGACATATTATAAAAAAATAATATTATAAATATAATATATATATAATTATATAGACTAGCTTGATAAGCTTTCGAGTCGAGTCGGGTTGAGCTCGAACTCGAGCTCGTTTATCATTAGAGCTCAATTGTAGGCTCGAGCTCGAAGCTCGATAAGCTTGGCTCGCGAGCTCGTTAATGAGTTGAGTTCGAGCCGGCTCGGCTCACTTACTACACCCCTAGAAGAGGGTGACTATCATTTACATCGCTTTTGAAAATGAGGAAAAGAGATGAATCGATCACCAAATACATAACAAGATGGAGGTATCTCACCATGAAATGTGAGCAACAGCTCACTGAAAAGCATGCTGTTGAGTTGCTGGATCATGTCGCCAAATTCGAAAGGTTGCCCATACCTAGAAGCATTGGCTTCAACTATAATAATAATCCGTCAGAGAAAGGAAAACATGTCAATATTTGATCTAAAGAGGAACGAGGTGAATATTACATTCCCGTCTTTCTCCAACAAGAAAGAAAAAGGGTATGCAATGAATCCACCGAAAATGATAAAGCAAATAAAAGAAAGGCAAAGGTGCCCTACTTTGGAGGAGAAAATTAACAAACCAAATTCATTTAAAAGGGAATGTACGAGAAAGATTTTCAGGTAAGCGCCTAAGATCGATCTTCAATTGTCGGAGTCTCGTCGACCTGAACAAGCTGGCATGACTGGTGATCCAAACTACTGTTCATATCATAGGATTGTAAGTCACCCAATTGAAGACAACTTTATATTTAAAGATTAGGTCAAAAAGAATTATCAGAATGGTGAACTGACACTTTCTAATAGTGTCCTGATTAATTCCAAAAGGGAGAAAACCAATTTTATATCAACCATGCCTTGCCAAAACACATGGTGATAAAGGAAAAATACTCCAAGAATATGAAGGTGGTTCATAAACTTTTATCTCGAAGAAAATTAAACGAATGATGAATATCTTGCTGGACCATTTAAGGCATTCTTTGGAAGAATGCTTTAGAATTGGAAGTTGATCCACGACTCATTTCTTCAAAGAATCCAGTTGCGAAGGGGACCAACTCAAGCAAGAAGAAACCTTTGAAATATTTCAAAGACCAAAATGAAAAGCATAAACCTAGATCAAAATCTCAAAAAGAAAAGAAGAAGAGATTAACAAGACAGAAAACTGTAATTCAAAAATACATTGACTCTATTGATGAATATCACTAGGCAACCTGTTAGGCTAGAGGAATACATGGCTGATTTTTATCTTGACTCGGAATCAGAAAAGGAGTATAGTATTCTAATTGAGACTTGCCGAGTCATAAATAAACGAGGTGGAAGGCCTGCAAGAGGATGCAATGCACCTCTTGCTAACCATAAAATTGATGTGAAAATGCCTTCTAAGGAAGTACATCATACATCAGCTCCTTTCACTGATTCAAATGATGAAGAACTACACTTCCTCGATGAAGAAAGTGATAGTAAGGGTAAAAGGACTCTTAAAGAAATATGCGCGAAACT